GGCGGACTTCAACTCCAAGAAGCTGGGGAATTCTTGGGAGTTGAAGTCCCCCCCGCCCCAGGCTTAAAGTCGCCAAGGTTGTAGACCCCTGGTTTATAGAAATTTCTTGTTGCTAAGCAGGGCACCTGTTCAGTGAGCCGGGCCTGATTTTATGACCTTTCTTGCCACAGCGATTAAGCGAATCGCTGCGGCTGTTAAATGAATCACTTGACTGTTAAGTGAATCCAGCTTCCCCCATGGAAGCCGGCTGGGGAAGGTTGCAAATGGCGATCGCATGGCCCAGGGATGCTGCAACTGTAAAATATGTGACAATGGCGAAGTGCCTGCATTTTGATCACGTGGCCATGTGGACGGCTGCAAGGATGGGTAAGTGCAAGAACCAGTTGTAAGTCACACTCTTTTCAGTGCTGTTGTAAACTTCAAACAGTTGCTAAATAAATGCACGTCTCCCTGTACTTAGGTCCTGAAAACGCAGTGCATTTAACGTGCCTGTGGTTCTCTTGCAGATGCGAAGACATAAACAGCAGCTACTGCAGAACACAGGAATTTAGCTCCAGCATTTAAATCCTGGTTCTTTTTTCTTCCCTTACACCAGTGTTTCTCAACCTCGTCCACTTGAAGATGTGAGGACTTCAACTCCCAGAATTCCCCAGCCAGCATCGCTGGCTGGGGAATTCTGGGAGTTAAAGTCCTCACATCTTCAAGTGGACGAGGTTGAGAAACACTGCCTTACACAGTAAAGGACTTGTTGCTGCTTCTTCCTCAACTGTAGATGCTGAAACCGCTCGCAGAGTGTTTGGTTAAAGCCAGTGATCGGCTGCTGCCAGTTCGGGCGAACCGATAGTTCCAATGATCAGCTGGCTCCGCCCACCCACCCACCGCTGCCCTATCCTGTCCTATATTTCCTTCTTTCTGGCTCAGCTGATTCGTGCAGCGCAACTGATTTCCGCGCCTCCGCTGTTCTACTTAGCGGGGCTGCCTTTCTAAGATAAGCAGCTGAGTTTCAAATTGCTGTATTTTGAACGCTGTATGCGAGCGCGTTACACGCTGTTAACCAGTTGCAGCCCACCACTGGTTAAAGTCACACCTGGTCTTACAATATTTACTTGTAGCTATGTAGGCTTCAGGCCTCCCAGCCCCAAGCTGTTAACTTGATCCTTCCTGATCACATTCACACAACCCATAAACCATCTCCTAGCTAGCAGAACCTCCTTCTGGTCTGGACTAAACATCAGTTAAGGAGAAGCTTCCTAATAGTGAGAACAATTAACCAGTGGAACAGATTGCCTCCAGAAGGTCAGGGATGTCAAACTCAAGACCCAGGGCCCAGATCCGGTCTTCGGGATGCTCAGATTTGGCCCCTGGGGCCACTCTGGAAACAGCAAAGGACCAGTCTGCGGTGCCATTGCCAGCAAAAATGGGAGCTCCGTTTTCCCTGGCAGAGGGTTGCAGGAGGCCATCGCAGGCAAAAACGGAGCTCGGGAGCCCGTTTTCAGTGTCAAAGCACTCGGCCACCACCGGCGCCTCTGACACGAGTGACATTCTTGCTAGGGAATTCTGGGAGTTGAAGTCCACAGATCTTAAAAGTTGATGAAATTGAAGAACATCTCTGTAAGAGGCCAGCTGAAGTTTTGTTGAGCTGAAATATTTTGAACTGGATCTTCTCACAGGCAAAATAGGTTTTTTGCCAGCGAGGCATGATTTTCTTTTTTTTCAGAACATTGTTTTTAGAGAATCCAATTTGTCAACAAACCCCAATAAGAAACCACTGCATAATATTGGTCCCAGGAGCATTTTTTATTTATTTTTTTTTTTATTTCAAAAGCTGTTGAGAAGTCTAGGCTACGGCTCACTTGAAAATGAAGATGTGAGTTTTGCACTTTTAACAACAGGAATCACAGACTACAATAAATGTCTATGGAGATTCTCAGCCCTCCAGGTCATGATTGTCCCAAAGGTGCTTTTTCAGGAAGCAACTGGACTTTCTTGTTTTTTTCTTTTGAAGATGCTTTGCTTCTCATCCAAGAAGCTTCTTCAGCTCTGACTGGATGGTGGGGAATGGAAGGATTTATATTCCTTGCAGACAGCTGGTCATCAGCTGGAGCCTGAGTGGCGTAGGAAGCTAATGCCTCCTACTAAGGCAGCATTTAACATCCAGCTGCCTGCAATTACTGCGAGTTCAATTCTCACCAGGCTCAAGGTCGACTCAACCTTCCATCGCTTTCTAAGGTGGGTAAAAATGAGGACCCAGTTCGTGGGGGCAATAAGCTGACTTTGTATAAAATATACAAAAGTATGAAGGCTGTTGCTTAACGCATTGTAAGCCGCTCTGAGTCTCCGGAGAAGGGCGGCATATAAAAATAAATAAAAATAAAAATAAAAATAAAAATAAAATCTGCATCCTTTTAGAGGGTCGTTGAGGCCACTTGGAGGTTTATCTAGGTCCTCAGGGTCACCTGAGTGCTGCAAATGGGCGTGGAGCCTTTTGGGCTGCAGGATGTTTTTCTGCCCTATGTCCCTTCACTGTTGAACACGAACGCAGACTGTTGGGGAGGAGTCTGTGTTGTCTGCGTCTCAAACTGAAATGCAAACGGTTCCTGTAGTCTGCAATTTTTTTTTTTCCTGGAAATCCGTTGATATTCCCACACCATTAGAAGGGTGTTTATCCTAAAGGGCATAGTCTGCAAGGAATATAAATCCTTCCATTCCCCACCATCCAGTCAGAGCTGAAGAAGCCTCTTGGATGAGAAGTGAAACGTCTTCAGAAGAAAAAACAAGGATGTCCAGTTGCCTTTTGAAAAAGCACCTTTGGGACAACTACAATAAATGTATCGCTAGGCAATGCTGTGGAGTATCTGCATACTACAGTAGTGGCCAAAATTGTGGAAACCTTTCGGGGAAAGTGTATTTTCTAAAACTAGCTAATAACACCACTTTTTTCTTTTTGAGTAGTACCATAAAATTATATATCAATGGAAAGATAATTTAATCAAGAATGTAATGCAGTAACTTTTATGAAGGATTTGCTATTAGAATGGCAGTTACAGTATAAAGAAGAAAAGTGAAACACGTAGAAAAAACAAGATATACAAAAATGATCATCATGTCAGTTAATACTTAGTTGGGTAACCTTTAGCATGAATTACGGCCTTACAACGTCTTCCCATGGAGTGAACCAAGTCTTTTCATTCTGCAGCGGTTATAATGTGAAACCAAAATTGAAGGATTGCTTCTATTAACTAGGTTTTATTGCTAGGTCACTTTTGACTAACAAGTTTCTTTAGTCAGCTCCATATATTTTTCAATTGGGTTAAGGTCTGGGCTATTCCCAGCAGTGGAATATGATTATCTTGAAACTCCAAAAAAAAAAAAAAAAGTGGTGTTATTAGCCATCAAACCTCAAAAATACACTTTTCCCAAAAGGTTTCCACAATTTTGGCCACTCCTGTATGTCCATCTTCTTAGGTACCTCTGAACAATTTCTCCCACCCCAATCTACCTTCATTGGATAGCCGTGAGAAAATTAAGGCAGAATCTCAATTAAACCACCTTGAGCTAAGAAAGTTAAATATAAACCTTAGTATAGGTAGTCTTTGACTTACGACCACAACTGAACCCAAAATTTCTGTTGTTAAGGGAAACACTTGAGTGATTTTGCCCCATTTTACGACCTTGCTTGCCGCAGTCATTAAGTGAATCACTGCAGTTGTTAAATTAGTCGCACAGTTGTTAAATGAATCTGGCTCCCCCACTGACTTTGACCCCGCAGGACACTGCGACCATCATAAATTGGCAATCATAAATTGCCACGCCTCTGAATTTGGATCACGCGACCATGGGGATGCTGCAACGGCCATAAGTATGAAAAAGGGTCATAACTCAATTTTTTCAGTGACGTCGTAACTCTGAACAGTCGCTAAAAGAAGTGTTGTAACTTGAGACTATCTGTACTAATAAGCTCTGAATCACAACCACTGGAACCCGAATATAGAGATATTTGATACAAATATCAAAACAACTGAATTTTGCAAGTAAACAAGCAAGCTCAGAGAGCACCAAGGACCCCTCATTTTAACCCTGAGCTACAAATATTCTCCTTTATTGGTACAACTGAATTTTAAATGACAACCTGACGTTTCTAGGAACTTGGCAACCAGAAGGTCTGAAGCCTTCTCAGATCATTTTGTCTCTTTTAGTATTGATGCTGTTGTCAATTTGAAAACACTATTTCAAAATATTGATAAAAGTATTTGTTTTGAAAGCAGGATATAAACAGTATTAATAAAACAATAAACAACAGGAAGTGATGTAATGTTAGGTAAAGGTAAAGGCTGGGAACGTGAGACAGGCGAACAAACTAAGTTAAGACCCTGAATACTGTGTTTCCCCATAAATAAGACCCTGTCTTATTTTCTTTTGGGCTCCAAAATAAGCACTAGGGCAGGGGTGGGCAACTGTGGCCCTTTTACAACCTGTGGACTTCAACTCCCAGAATTCTGTGGACTTCAACTCCCAGAATTCTGGGAGTTGAAGTCCACAGGTTGTAAAAGGGCCACAGTTGCCCACCTCTGCACTAGGGCTTATTTTCAAGGGATGTCTTATTTTTTTCCCTCTTGTAGTTTAAGAGTACATGGGAGACCCACTTCGTCTGCTGCCCCCCATGTCCCGCACCAACTTACCTCAGGGCCACCACAGCCAGGCCACCAAACCCCCCCCATACCTGCCTCGCTTCCCTGAGGTAAGCCGGTGCGGGGCGTGTGGGGAAACTCCACCCCTCGCCTCGCCTCATGGGCGCAGCACCACATACAACCAGATGGAATGGGTAGCCGGCCGGTTGTGCAGGCGTTTAAGTAGAGCTTATTTAGGGGATAGGGCTTATATTAGGCACACGAGGAAAAAATATGGTAGGGCTTATTTTTGGGATAGGTCTTGTTTTCAGGGAAACATGGTAATGGCTATTTTATTGTCCCACCCAGCCGACTCCCCCCCCCTTTTCTTACTGTCTTGCGCTCTCGCTTTGGCGGGACCGGTGGTTGAGGATTCATCATGACTTGGGAAGTTGGGAATTGTTGCACGTTCTGCGCAGGATAATATGCACCAGCTGAAGGAGAAAAGGAGAAATTTGAGTTATTGCAGTCATATCATACAGGTAGTCCTCAACGTACGACCACAATTGAGCGCAAAATTTTATGTTGCTGAGAGAGAAATCTGTTAAGTGTGTTTTGGTCCCATTTTATGACTTTTCTTGCCACATTAGTTAAGCAAATCACCGCAATTGTTAAATTAGTAACCTGGTTTTTCAATAAATCTGGTTTCCCCACTGTCTTTCCTTGTCAGGAGATCACATGACCAAGGAACATTGCATCCGTCATAAATGTGAGTCAGTGGTCAAGCAACCAAAGGTAGGCCGGACTTTTGAGTTTCTAGCATCTCTAAAGTGTTCAAACTTTGTACAGATAGTCCTCGAGTTATGACCACAAGCGAGCCTGAAATTTATGTTGCTAGGCGAAATGTTTGTTAAGGGAGCTTTGCCCCATTTTGTGACTTTTCTTGCCACAGTTGTTAAGTGAATCATTCCGTTTGCTAATTTGGTAACATGGTTGTTAAGTGAATCTGGATTTCCCCATGGACTTTGCTGGTCAGAAGGGCGCAAAAGGTGATCACGTAACCCTGAAGCACTGCAACCATCATAAATATGTCAGTTCCCAAATGTCCAAATCTTGATCACGTGACACCCCCCCCCAAGGGATGCTGTAATGGTCATAAGTGTGAAAAGTAGTGACGTCACTTTTTCAGTGCCGTTGTTAACTTTGAACGGTCACTACATGAACTGTTGTAAATCGAGGATTACCTGTACACACATGTGCAGTGCAAAATCTCTCACGTAGCCTACAGGTAATCCTCGACTTACAACTACAATTGAGGCCAGAATTACCATTGCTAAAGGAAGCGGATTGTTGAGCCACATCAGATTTTACCACCTTTTAACCATGCTTGTTAAACAAATTACTATAGTTGCTAAGTGGATTGTGCAGTTGTTAAGCGAAGCTGGCTTTGATCCTTGAAAGTTGGCTGGGAAGGTCACTCATGGCAATCACATGACTCCAGGATGCTGCAATGATTGAAAATACTATGTTTCCCCAAAAATAAGACTGGGTCTTATATTAATTTTTGCTCCAAAAGATGCATAAGGGCTTATTTTTTTGATTAGGTTTTATTTTCAGGGAAATACAGTATTAAATGCATCCGTGTGGCTGACTGTATTTACTGGGGTTTATTTTGGGGGTAGGGCTTATATTACAAGCATTCTGAAAAATTATGCTAGGGCTTATTTTCCAGTTTGGGTCTTATTTTCGAGGACTTTGATCAGGTGATGGTTGACTCCAGCACCTAGATTTTGATCAGGTGATGGTTGACTGATCGCAAGTAACTTTTTTCAGTCCTGTTTAACCGTCACTAAACCAATTTTGTAACTGTAAGACAAACCACTGTCTGTTCGGCCTCCCATACAAGACAAAGAGTTGACTTCCCGAGACTCTCAAAAATTACTTTTCTTTCGGTGGCTAAAGTATCTCCACGTTGCCAAATTTCACATGATCTTCGGCAAGCATGCCAAAATCATGCATGATTACGAAGGGCAATATCTTTCAGCTATTTTGAAACAAATGGGACAAATGCACCTCTACAGCACGATGCAAAATTGTGTGATTAGCCCTGCATAAATTGACAATTCTTGCCTATACCAAGGGTCAGATCCCTTCCAATTCTGTTACTGTTACCTGATGTTGGAAGAGTTAGCGGTAAAAGGAAACCCAGGCCATCAAAGACCATGGTGGCCGGACACTTTTCAGATCTGACACCAGCCAAAGCAGAGACCAACTCAAAGGAAGTAGTGCAAGATCAGAAGATGTAGAGCAGGGGTGTCAAAACTCCATTTCATTGAGGGCTGCATCAGGGTTGTGTTTGACCTGGGGGGGGGGCGGGATAGGCGTGGCCATCTTGACATCTCTTGTACCAGGGGCACCTGTGGTGGCCCGGGCACTCTACCAGCGAAAACAGACTCCCGAGCTCCGTTTTCAACTGCAACGGCCTCCTGCAACTTCCCTCTGCCAGGGAAAACGGAGCTCGGGAGGACCACGTGTGGCCCTCGTGAGCTGTTTTCCCTGGCAGAGGCACCACGGGCTGGTCCTCCGCTGTTTCCAATCTAAGCACTCCACGGGCTGCATCCGGCCCCCGGGCCCTGAGTTTGACACCCCTGCTGTAGAGAGACCTGGCCTAAAGAATGAACAAGAGTCATCACTGGAGGCTTTTAAGAAGAGACTGGATAGTCATTTGTCTGAAATGGGATACGGTCTCCTGCTTGAGCAAGGGGCTGGACTAGAAGACCTCCAAGGTCCCTTCCAGCTCTATTCTGATGCTGATGCTAAATGGATACCCTCCTCCTCCTCCTGTTCATTATGAGAAAACTGACAGAATTAGAACAGGAAGCAGCTCTGGGAATGTATTCATTTATTTGTATCCCACCTGTATTATTATTATTATTATTTATTATTTTACAAACCTTTATTATTTTTACAAATAACTCAAAGGCCACAAATATATCCAACATCCCTTCCTCCTCCTCCTATTTCCCCCCACAACAACCACTCCTAAGAGGTGAGTTGGACTGAGGGAGAATGACTTGGCCAAAGTTGCCCAGCTGGCTTCCATGCCTAAGGACTAGAATTCACGGTCCCCCTGCCTTCCAGCCTGGTGCCTTAAACCATTAGACCAAACGGCACACAAGAACCCTAACCTGTTCAGAAACCTCCTCGGTGCCTTTGGAAATTTCGGATTGCAATTCTCATATTCTCATCCACTGATCATGTTGGCTAGGGCAGGGGTCAGCAACCTGCGGCTCTGGAGCCGCATGTGGCTCTTTCACCCCTCTGCTGCGGCTCCCTGTCACTCAAAGTAGGCGTCACAAACGCCAATGTGCGACACCCCCGGCAAGCGATTTATTGAGCCCCTGGTAGGCCAACCATGGATAAATCCAAGAAAAGAAAAGTTTCAGAAGAAAACAGAACATTTAATTCAACTACATATGCTAGTTTTGTGGCCTAGTCAGGCACAGGAAGGATTTTGTGACTCCCGGTGTTTTCTTTTCTGTGGGAAACGGGTCCAAATGGCTCTTTGAATGTTTAAGGTTGCAGATCCCTGGGCTAGGGGATGATGGGCCTTGTGATCAAGCAACCTACCTAATCTTGCCATTGCTGTCATATCAAGAGCAACGTAATCTCTTGGAAGGCTTTAGATCTGGAGGAACAGCTCTTTGAAATCACCCAGTCTTCCCTCTACATTAGCATATTATGAGTTATCCAAGCCTCCCTATATATAATAATAATACAAGTAAAATTCTGCTTTTCGGATTGGTGGAAACCACTTAAAAACCTGTAGGGAAGATCACATATACAGTTACAGCTTTCCTCCGTGTTTGTTTCCCCCCCTGGCTGGCATCTACTGGCATCCTCATTTTTAATCGGAGAAATCATGTAGTGAAACTGATAAAAATCAGCCTTCCACCCCAATTGCAGCTCGACTCCATTCAAGTCATGGATCCTTATGCTGTGGCTGAACCTTCCATTCATTCATTACACATTTTTTTAAAAAAATATATAATTTCTTCCTCTGCTCTCAACTTGGCAATAGCAAAAAATAAATTCAGGTGGTCCTCGACTTACAACCGTTTAATGACCCTTCGAAGTTACAATGTCACCGAAACAAGTGACTTAGGACCGTGTTTCACACTTCTGACCGTTGCAGCAGCCCCATGGCCACGTGATCGAAATTCAGATGCTTGGCAACTGACTCATATTTATGACGGGTGCAGTGTCCCAGGGTCACGTGATTGCCTTTTGCCACCTTCTGACACGCAAAATCAACAGGGAAGCCAGATTCACTTAACAACCGTGTTACTAACTTGACAACTGTGGCAAGAAAGGTCGTAGAATGGGGCAAAACTCAATAAATATTTACTGATCACTTAGCAGCAGAAATTTGGGGCGACTTATGTGGTCATAAATCAAAGACTACCTGTACACTGGTCCATCCAGCTCTAGCGTAACCTGAAAAGCATCAAGGGGAGCTAATGTGAAAGCACACCTCAGCCAAATTTCTTCCAGGTACGAGAGATGTAGCAAAACATCTGAAGAAAATCAGGCTTTGGGCAAGAAGAAAAGCTACTATGTATTTCCACAGCTGTTCTATCACATCTCTTGGCTGTAAATGAGGAAAACAATGGAAAGTCAGAGATATCCTGAAGATGGACAGCCAATAAATTTTATAAATAAATACCATATTTTTCGGACTATAAGATGCCCTTTTTTGTGTCCCAAAAGGGGGTGAAAATGTCTGTGTGTCTTAGAGGACCGAATGGTGCCGAAGCCCCACCCACTTGCCGGCTGTTTTTTGTTTTTTTTTTAATTTGATTTATATGCTGCCCTTCTCCGGAGACTCAGGGCAGCTTACAATGCGCTAAGCAATAGCCTTCATTCTTTTGTATATTTATACAAAGTCAGCTTATTGCCCCCACAATCTGGCTCCTCATTTAACCTACCTTAGAAAGGATGGAAGGCTGAGTCAACCTTGAGCCTTGGCGAGATTCGAACCAGCAGTAATTGCAGGCAGCTGGTCTTAATAACAGGGTGCTTTAGACCACTGTACTACCAAGGCTTTTTGCCTTCGCATGGCCCGATTTCGGGCCTTTTTCCACGAAAAAAGGGCCACAAAAAGCCTCAAAAATGGGCTGAGAAAAGCCTCGAAAACGGGCAGAAAAAAAAAGGGGGGGAAGGCCTGAAAAAAAGCCCGAAAATGGGGCGTGCAGAGACCAAAAACCTTTTTTTGTTGTTTTCCTCTTCTAAATTTAGGGACTTCTTAATAGTCCGAAAAGTACAGTAGATAAAAATGGAAGTTAACATTTCAGTCTGGTTGACTTCCAGAATGGGAGTGAACAGAACAGGACATATAAAAAAGAACTTGAATGAGAAAGCTCAGATATAGTGACCTGTAGTAAACGAATAACAGAATAATAGAATTGGAAGGGACCTTGGAGGTCTTCTATTC